GAAATCGACGTAATTATTTCAAATGCGTTCATGGGACTCTAAAGTAACTATCGCTGTATTTTGTGATCGTTTTTTAGGATATTATAAACATGAACGTTTTGTTTTTAAGGTATAATACACAAAGCCTTTGCGTAAATTCAGTTACTGAACTCAACACTGACCCAATTTAAGCCACGTGTGACGTGACTACTTGTTTACATCGCTTGATAGCTGACACGTGACATATATTACATCACGTGATAGCTGGCACGTGACGCGTCGTTGTTTAGTGCCAGCTGATTGTAATTTTATTTTCACATTTTTCAACATAAACGGACCAATTTTTATGTGGATATTGAATTTTGATGAAGCGAATGACATGATGGGCTAGATAAGTAGACCAAACGTAGTGAAAATGCCCTCTTGTAATAATTAGAAACCCAATCTCCCAATTAACTCCTCGTTAAAAAAGAGTAAATAATTTGAGGGTGTGTGGCAAACCTTTTGTACCATCCGAGTATCTCCGCGAGTTAGGGCGTAACTGACATGACCCAAAAGAACATCTATATTGCAGAAAGACACAATACAAAGTATTCTTCCTTTGCTACCAGAAATTCATCAGGTGACATCTTAACCGTTTGCATTTGGTTCGTCAAAACAACAAAGTGGGTGTTCAGGTATTTCTCACTCTCGGACTCTGGATGGGAATATAGCCTCCCTTTTAAAACAAATCAGGCGATAGCAGCGAAACCGAAGTTACCACCACCGACTCGGAGACCGTATTTATGGTGAAGGTGACACTAATGACAGTGATGTGTATTGTCGTTGGAAAAAAAATAGTTGATTTATTTAAATATTTTTTCTAAATATATATTTATTATTTATGGAAACTTTGTTGAAATTCATTGATCTTCCGCTTTAAGACCTCACGTTCTCTAAACGAGCTGCTGAAAACAATAGTACCCAAAAGGCGATAGACAACCAATCTTACCCAAAAGACGATAGACAACCAATCTTACCCAAAAGACGATACACAACCAATCTTACCCAAAAGACGATAGACGACCAATATTACCCAAAAGACGATAGACAACCAATCTTACCCAAAAGACGATAGACAACCAATCTTACCCAAAAGAATAAACCATCTATTTTAACCAAAAGAAATAAACAACCCATCTTAACCAAATGAATAGATCATCCATCATCTTACCCAAAAGAACAGATCATCCATCATCTCACCCAAAAGAATAGATCACACATCATCTTACCCAAAAGAATAGATCACACATCATCTTACCCAAAAGAATAGACCAGACTGTTATTTGCTGGTTTATATGGAGCGTCCTCACACATATCCCATCCTCCATCACCCACGTTACCCAGCCTCACCCTGTTATTACACGGTATCTGGATATGTTGAATATATCTGGAAATAAATAACGAGATCAACTGTTGTTTTAAGGAACAGGGTTATAATGAGGTTCGAGTAAGCTGTCCCCACTGACAAAAACAATTTAAATTTCAGCAAACCATAGCCGAGTTTTGGGGCATGGTTTAAGGAAACGAAAATACTGGGGTTCGAGGAGTTTGTCACCCGAACGAAAACAATCTGAATTTCTGCAAACCTTAGTGGAGGTTTCCTATGTAAACGACCCGTGATCTGTGTCATGATTGTAATGTTTAAAAATATATTCTACTTTAAATTAAAATATCCCCCCTCCACCGTTCTCAGGTTATTTTGGAGTTCCGGCCTTGTATTTTAACCGGAATTTTGTTGTTTGCTATGCTCGTGTAACACGATTGTAATAAAAGTATACATTTTTATATGACTAATCTCTATTTATTGGCCTGTTGAGAATAATGCAAATATTAATACTTGCCCAAAGTACAGAAGTGTTAAATCTTTGGCACCTAGCGTAGATAGCTCTGCTTCACTAGGCAGCACCCATACACCATTCTGGTAGTATTTAGATTCAGGCAGCTTTAAAATAAAAAAACACAGACATGACACATACTTTATAGTACCGTATCTTTATCATTCAGACGACGAAATGACTGTCCAGAAAGTATATCCCGATGACTAATTAAAACAATCAATTTTATTAAGTAAAAAATTAATTAAGATCCTCAGTCATTGTCCCATCGAATCAGTAATTCTCGTTGATACCTACCATTCTGTAAGCTTGTATTTGTGATCCCTGATATAAGACAGACCTAAAGTTTGTGATTCCTGGCCAATACGCCCAATAATCTACTTACTCACCAACTCACCCCTTTGGATAAGCCTGTATTTGTGATCCCTGATATAAGCTTTACCCAAAGTTAGTGATTCCTGGCCAATACGCACAATAATATACTTAATCAACCAACAGCTTTACTATTAGTTTAATTATTTTATTATATTTCTTCTCGGCCCCCTTTTAGAATTCATGACTAGAATGTATAACCCTTAGAAATGGACCACTTCAATATTTCAATGCTATATAATAATGATAATGACGTAGAAACGACTGTGGGCATGCACGTTTTTGCCTGTAATGTGAAAGTTATCGTACATGATATGTAGGACTATGACGCATAGGCCCCCGCGTCGCCACCCCCGCCTTTTTTTCGTCGTCGCCCCGCTCCAAAGATCAACACATGTCCTAAAATCCCTTCACTTACAATGTAGTTAATTATATTTGCTCATGTAATTAATTAACATATGTTTTGATTAATTGATGTTAGTTAAATCCCAACGTACTTCACTAAGAATGTAGGTTTTTTATTCTAGCATTTGAAATATATTTACGAAAAACAAAAATGGTTAGTTCTTTTAAACAAGGTTAACGTTACATAATGTAGTTAACAGATGTTTTTCGGGGGTCGTAGGTGAACTTTTGACCGATATACAAAAAATACCATGGATCTATTTAAATACTTCACACAACACAACACATCAACACAACACAACACAACACAACACAGGCACATCATTTTTACCGTCAAATATACAGAACGTAATTCTATTTGAACAAAATTTAATAACTTTTACTTTCTTTTCTATCGACGTTTTACAGGTCAAATACATTTCCACAAATACATATAAATTTACGGGACGGCACAATGTATGCTGCACCCAACATGTAACAATGATCTAGAGTGTCTACCGGTGGTATATTCATGTTATAAGTATGGTGGCTGAAAGCGTCTATTTAGATCGGCGTGTTTCTAGATACAACGCGAGAGTCGCCGTTAAGCCAGCACGACGAAAAAGGCGCCGATCGGCGACTTTTTCGTCGTACTAGCTTAACGGCGTCGCCGTTTAGCCCCGACTTTTTCGTCGCTCTGGCTTAACGGCGACTCTCGACTCGGAAGTTTAGAGTTAGTTACATGCCCAATGGCTACATTTTTCTTCTTGTATATCAACTCAGAATGGAGGAGATTTTGGATGAGTTGGGGTTTTCGAGCTATGTCAACATTTTCAGTGACAATAAGGTAAAGTAAAATTTATTAGTGGTACAGATGAAAACAAGAAATAAATTATACAAAAGAGTAATGTCCGTTTTTAATAATGGGAACCGAATCGAGTTTGTCAGTATTAATCTAGACCTGACAGCAGAAAAGTCGTTAGTGCTAGCCTGTTCAATTCAGATGTTTGTACTTAAAACAACATGAATGATTAGGCCTAGTGTGTAAAATGCTACAAGGCCTTCTAAATTAGTATTATTAATTTTTTTTAATGCATGATAGTTGTTCGTAAAGTATGGATGCATTGAGAAAAAGTCCTACTTTTATACATTGTCGATATAATTTGTTATGATAAAACGATAAGATTTTGTTATGTTTCACAGACAACAATGTCATGCCGGTTGATAACATTAAATATATTAGTGTGATGGCGCTATAAAGTCTTATCAGTCGCTATTTAGTTTTAATATAAACTCTTCATTTTAACCACAGCACATACTCTTATAGAAATTTATATAAATTATTTGTATGTACAACTGACTGAAGAGTTTTCCAATTAAAATCGCTTAAGATCCCTGTCCACAATTTCTTGCAAACACTCTGCAGACTACATTTGTGACCGGTGACAGCCAAATGAGTCGGAAGTCGGACATGCTCATTTAACGCTACGATCTAAAATAGCTACTTGAGCTTAACTTTAAAAAAAATATTTTGGCGAAATCCGATGCTTTAACTTGTCTATTATTGGAGTAATCCAGAAAAATTTAAATATTTAATTATTTATTGTATAAATTGGGTGTTTTGTAAGTATTATTTTTTACCCCAAGTGACTCATTTGACTGTCACCGGTCACATTTACCATCTGGTTTGATTGTCGTTAATCACCCGTCACTGTTTCTTGTTTGATCTCTTTCAAATTAGCGAGGGGTTAAAAGGAATAAGAACTGGGGTTAAACATCCTAGTTTTCTGCACAGGGAGTGTGTTGGGGTTATATTACCAATATTTTATTTTGAATGGATTTGTAATAAACATGAAATATTATAAATTCAAACATAATGCATTCTCCGTAAGAGGAATATAATTTATAAAACGCGACGCGTGACGTTGTATTAAACAATACGACATCCCTTATTTCCGCATAAGGACATTAAACCCCTTTCATTTCATTTCCCCAAAACAACGATGCTTCGTGAGGGCGGTGTCATTCTTTGCGTCCCGCCAAGTAGATAAAATAGAAAAATTTATAATGTCGACTGATTACAAGTGGGTATCTTGGATAACGTGTTCTTGTACTTTGGGTTTGTATAATATGAAATACATTGTTAATACAATGTTATGTCACCATATAAACAATGTTCTGAATCTGATCGGGAGTACTAAACCCCAATAATTGAGTTATACCAGCTGGTGCTTACAACACGTAGGGTCCATTTTTAGGGGCCGAGGATGCCAGTGCTTTCATTTAGAATTCATCAATTTCCTGTTTATATATTCTTACTTTTGAGAAGGAGTGAACTATAAGAAATATTTATCGGTAAAAGTTCATTTGAAGTCCTATCGATCAAAAATGGCTGTAATTTTATGAAAATAATCTAAAGCACCAAATCTCTTCAACTCTCAGGTTGGTTCTTCATGTACTAGATAACATTCTATGAGCTGTTGACAGTCATCATCAGCATTAATGCCGCCCTCTTTGCAAGTATGTTTTGTTAATAAAGACATAAGATGACTATAAGTATGATATACCATATCTTTATGAAAATTTTACTGACACCAGCAAAGCATTCCGTCGCAACAGAGAGAGAGAGAGAGGGGGGGGGGGGAGAGGACAACGCGTAGAAAACTCACCACATAGAAATAGGGGTTAACTACCACTCGACACAAACTAGATTATTCCAGGACTAATATATGGTATAATTTTATTTCAATAATTCGCTGGTGTGTAGGTGTCGATCGCAGGCGGGGGAAACCGGAGGAACCGGAGAAAACCCACGAGGTTAGGCAGGCGACCCTATTCACGGACAAACTTGGGACCGACACTGCTCCACTTGACTCAATGACAGATCGTTTGATCTAAAGCGCATGCGTTGTACAACCCTCCCCACCCCCTGATTTTGAAAGAACATGCTTTGTATTTTTTGTTATTGTTTTTATTTTTATATTTTTTTTGTCTCAGGTTGGACCTCAAGAAGTGTTGGGATTCACGGATAATGAATTTCTTGAGTTCGGAATATCAACCATAGGGGATAAGGCAAGGCTTCGACAGCGCTGCAGATTACATACTTCAGGTAAGTTATTTTAACACTTTCTTCGTTTTGACGTCACGTTGACATGCTGATACAAATGGAAATCTGGGTTAGATCTGAATATTAAAGCTACCTGCCACAATCTTAGGCAACAATCACGTGCCCTAGCCCTGTTTACATCTCGTCACCATGACGAAAGCTGCAGGCGGCCTTAATATTTATATTTGACCGGCATCTGTGGGTTTGTCACATGGTCACAACAGGGGAATGGACGTAATCCGGAATGAAGTCAAATGGGTTTTTTCCAAACGGAAAGTCACGTGGTGGGAAAGAAAACAAGGACGTTCGCCATAGTTATTGTACTACCGCCACTTTCAATTTTAGGCTAAGGATTAAGGTAAATTGACAACTATGGCGACTAAACGATGTTCCTGGAGCAAATAATGATCCCAACTTCTGCTATGTTTATTGTGCAATTCCTGTTGGAACGGTGAATGCGACTAGATAGATACTGTTTTTATTTACTTTTGTAACTTGGTTTTAAATATCGACTATATCTTGACGTTTGTGACTAAAAATAGTCTGTCTACCTTTGAACAAATGCCGTCGTATCGAAATTACAGAAAGGTCATTATGAGGACGACCACATTGTTTTACACAGAGAGTCTACGTCGTTGAATGTTAACTGACGGAAACGAAGGGAAAGTAGCCCATGTCGGTAAGTCTATGTAAGCCACAATTCTGTTTATGCAACCACTTTCGGCAAATATTCTTATGTATTAAATTGTATTCTGTTTTCGCAGCAATTCATCACCCCCCCCCCCCGCAAAAGAGTTAAAACTACCAGAAAGGTGAATTTGGGATGGAAGCATGCCAACACTGCACTATGGTGTCTCTGGCGAAAGGTGGTGGAACGTTTGTTGGTGATGTAGAGCGTGATAAAACCAGTTTTAGAACTTGCAAAAGATTTGTATTTCCCAAATGGGAAAGCACATATCAAAAATTTAGATGAAAAAGACACTTTCTTTTTCATTGCTAACTTTATTGGAAATGAGATTGGAGATTATTTAACAAATGATAAAGAATTTACAATCGCAAATTACTTAGAGTGTTTGAAAACGACACCCAAACGCATATACCTGCATAGTAATTTGTTGGATACCAGTAATCAAGAAACAACACAATCCAACAACGGTCCAACTCATAGTGCTGATATCCACGAAGCTATAGAAAGTCAGCCTAGTTGCAGCTCTAATCATTGCTTAGAAATGTATGAGAGATTATCTAGTGATGCGGATGAGGAATTACCAGATATTAATCCCGTTCCGATTTATTCTGGAACACCTACAGTAAGTTTTAACACACGTTTATTGCAGACTAGAAGAATCCCCGGCTTCGCTCGGGGGGTCATAACCCCGAAACCGGAAGTGGTAGACTAACGCCACCTGGCCTACAGTAAGTTTTAACACACGTTTATTGCAGACTAGAAGAATCCCCGGCTTCGCTCGGGGGGTCATAACCCCGAAACCGGAAGTGGTAGACTAACGCCACCTGGCCTATGTTACTCCCTGGTCCGATCTACCCCTATACCCCAAATTTCAGACTCGGGGCAGACCTAGTGCAGCCGCCAACCCCGAACAGACAGACAGACAGACAAACGACAGTCACAAATATTAGTATAGATAGATGTTGGTTGATTAGGCGTTTTAAAGGGAATCCTAAATACTAATTCTCAAGTGGTTTAAATATTATTTGAAATTCAAGATCACGTTGTAAATTAGAATGGTTGAAATCATGTACATGATTTTTAATCAGTGAGTCTATGTAATTGTATGACAATTATATGTTAATTCTACACTTCAGATTGCATTCAACAGAAATAAATGCTTAATGAAGCCTGGTGAACACAATAAGTATCATCTTTATTATAGCTTTTAAATTGAACAGACTTTTAGTTGTAGATGCCAAATCTTGGAAGTTTTGCATATGTGTAAATATGTGTAGAATTTCACTGTGCAATTATCTCTTTTATCTCCATTATCATTATTATTATTATTGTTCGATTTATATACACGTGAGTGTTTCTAAGCGCATTCACAACAAAACAGTTCAAAACATTTTTGAAATAAGTATGTTTTTAAGTTAGTCTTAAAACTCTGGATGGAAGAGGACTCTCGAAGAGTTTTTGGAAGATCATTCCACATTTTAGCTGCTCTGACGGAGAAAGCATATTCACCAGAACGCTTATTATATTTGGGGATCCTCAATATGCTACGATCACTTGAAGAACGGGGGTTGGATCGCCGGGGAGTATAGAAATCAAAGAGTTCTTTTAAATAACTGGGTGCGGTGTCAGAATAAATTGATTTAAACACATTCACAAGAGCTTTAAATTGAACCCTCGCTCGAACTGGAAGCCAATGGAGTTTCTGTAACTTAGCTGATATATGATCAAATTTTCGTGTTTTAGTTATGAGACGTGCATCATTACTTTGCGCTATTTTTAGTCTGTTTAAAGCTGTTTCTGGTGCTCCTAATAGAAGAGAATTTGCATAGTCCATGTGGGATGTTACTAATGCTCTAACCTCCATACATATTTCAATACTTCATACATGAAAAACAATAATACACAGAGAAATAATTTATTATTGTTGAATTCAACAATAAAATTTATCGCGAAATTTGCAACGTTGAGAATAGACTCTTAAATACCTCGTTTGCTATACTAATTCAAAATTAGTTAACTCCTTTAAACGTTGATCTTACACTTGGTGAAACCTTTCAAAGTTGGGGTTGTTAAACATATCCAAATTTCGCTTAGTTCTCTAACAGATATCCGACACAATATGACTTTCTTTCTTTTTTTAAATAATAATCGATATGTTAAATCTTCCGACATATCTTCAATATTCTCTCAAGAAATATTTCTCGATTTTTGAATCAAGGTAAATCTGCACAACCAGAAGACTAACACATTTGGAATACACGGGTGTTTTGCCAGTAATATCCCTTCATTTGTGTGTCTGATAAAGACCCCTCTTTCCGCGGTTGTTAATCGAAAAACCTTTCGATTTCGCCTAAACTTTATTTCGCGTAATGAGGTCTACCTACAATCTGATTAAGACACTGATCCTATTTGGTTTCGTATTTTATGGTTCAAAATTTCGTTTTACTCGTCTTTACTACATTAGGATCTGGAAGAGTTGTTATATTACCGACGTTTTGCTTTAAGTGAGACTTCTTGGCGTGCCATGTATGGAACTGTGGGTAAACCACTAGAAACGCCAACGCTGATTAAGAGAGAGAGGGAAATGGGGTTTAACGTCCACTCGACACAAACTAGGTCATTTCGGGACTAACATATGGTTTAATTTTATTTCAATAATTCGCTTGCGCGTAGGGGTGTTTAGCAGTGGGAGGAAACCGGAGGACCCGGAGAAAACCCACGAAGTTGGACAGGCGACCCTACTCCTTGTCAAGTACAACGCGGGATTCGAAACCACGCCAGTCGACTAAATGACAGACTTTATGATACAGCGCGCGCACGCTAACCATTCAAACCCCCCCCCCCCCAACGCTGATTAAATAATCAAGGTCAGACATCATACTAAGTTACTTTTCGTTTTATTTTAATATACATACAAATCCAAATTTTTATTAAACTCGATCCATTGTTTGCAAATGAAGTCCTGCGCGAAGAACGGTATACATGTCTCCTCGTTTTAGGGAATTCCCAGCAGTTTATTGTACTTTTTATACGAAGGTACAGAGCGGAAAATGCAGCTAAATCGAATACAACTTGTCAGAGCTTCATGTAGTGTAGGCCATCGAAAGTATATAAAACAACGAAACGAAATATAGATCTGTATTTTAATTTGATTAGTCTACCTATATCTAGTACAAAGATGACCCCTGTTGATTTTGTTCCATCTGATTGTCAGAGTTATTAAACCCACTGCTGTGCACTGCTGTTGTTTCATTGATTTAAATGTATTTATTTATTCCGTGCAGTCATGGCACTCTGACTTCTGTCTTGATGGAGTTGGCTCAGAAGATCGAGGAAGATGGGTCCAAAAATATTATAAATGTTGACAGATCAAATGTTTTAGAGGGAGCAAGGTGTGCGTTTAATCGTAAAAGTTTTAAAGTGGAAAGAATGCTAAGTGTCAAATTTGCCGGAGAATATGGTATGGATGATGGGGGTCCTAGACGTGAATTTATGAGGTTGGCATTAAGAGAAATTAAAGACTGTATATTTGAAGGAGAGGAAAAAAAATACGCCCAGATGTGAATTGCGAGTTCTAATTTGGCTGTTACACAATTTGAATTATCCTAGCGTTTTATTTACTGTGGCTGAAATTACAAGTTTAACTATAAACATTATCCAATCACATTCACAGAGGTGGACATATATTGTTGGATTCTGGGTGTATTTGTTTAGTTTGTCTGCGGGTCGGAGTGTATTAAGTCAATTTTGTTTAAACTTGACATTATTAATCGGTACACCACGATTAATTGATTATGCTAGGTTCCCAAAATCACGATTCGCGCTACGATTCAAATCGTGGGGTAATCGTAGTTACACACTGGACCCTTTGTTACGGTGACCCACCATAAATAATTATCTCCAAATATCTCGACAATTACGCCACACTATATATGACATACCAAGTTTTAAATCAGTTTCACACAATTATAGTCACTAAATAAACGATCATGTTGTACTTAATAAGCTATGACCATTTAATCATCCATAAATAATAGACTGAAAACTGGTTCCAAGTGTCGTCCATAACATTCAGACACTCTTGAGTAAAACATAGGATATGTGCCCTTGTTTTGAAATTAGTCTCGCTTAACCAGTCTACCGACCATTCTACGTCTGATTGACAGGTCGGGATAATCAAGACTACCTTTTTACGAAACATAACAGAAAGCTGGAACAAGAAATTGAATTTAGAAATACGCACGTTAGCCAACTCAACGATTGTTTTAAGAAACTTGTAAAAATAAAATGAAACTACTGCTAGTATCATGTTCCTGCTAACGAAAGTGATTCAGAGATATTATTTGTACTAAACAAAAAGATGTCGCTCTTAACGGTACAGTTAATGATAAAGCAATTTAAAAGATAAAACGAACGTAATTTCTAAAGCTGCTGTAATAACCAAGAAGCTAAATTTTACTGCTATTCAACAATAGATTTTTTACGGCTGTAATAGTTGATAGATTTGTAGAGAATTGCACGGGCCATGGGTATTTATAGTCTCATACACTCCATACCGCTGACTATATATATATCATAGTTCGAGACACAACCAGAATGGAGGAGATTTTGGATGAGTTGGGGCTTTCGAGCTATGTCAACATTTTCAGTGACAATAAGGTAAAGTAAAATTTATTAGTGGTACAGATGAAAACATGAAATGAATTATACAAAAGAGTAATGTCCGTTTTTAATAATGGGAACCGAATCGAGTTTGTCAGTATTAATCTAGACCTGACAGCAGAAAAGTCGTCAGTGCTAGCCTGTTCAATTCAGATGTTTGTACTTAAAACAACGTGAATGATTAGGCCTAGTGTGTAAAATGCTACAAGGCCTTCTAAATTAGTATTATTAATTTTTTTTAATGCATGATAGTTGTTCGTAAAGTATGGATGCATTGAGAAAAAGTCCCACTTTTATACATTGTCGATATAATTTGTTATGATAAAACGATAAGATTTTGTTATGTTTCACAGACAACAATGTTGATAACATTAAATATATTAGTGTGATGGCGCTATAAAGTCTTATCAGTCGCTATTTAGTTTTAATATAAACTCTTCATTTTAACCACAGCACATACTCTTATAGAAATTTATATAAATTATTTGTATGTACAACTGACTGAAGAGTTTTCCAATTAAAATCGCTTAAGATCCCTGTCCACAATTTCTTGCAAACACTCTGCAGACTACATTTGTGACCGGTGACAGCCAAATGAGTCGGAAGTCGGACATGCTCATTTAACGCTACGATCTAAAATAGCTACTTGAGCTTAACTTTAAAAAAAATTTTGGGGCGAAATCCGATGCTTTAACTTGTCTATTATTGGAGTAATCCAGAAAAATTTAAATATTTAATTATTTAGTGTATAAATTGGGTGTTTTGTAAGTATTATTTTTTACCCCAAGTGACTCATTTGACTGTCACCGGTCACATTTACCATCTGGTTTGATTGTCGTTAATCACCCGTCACTGTTTCTTTTTTGATCTCTTTCAAATTAGCGAGGGGTTAAAAGGAATAAGAACTGGGGTTAAACATCCTAGTTTTCTGCACAGGGAGTGTGTTGGGGTTATATTACCAATATTTTATTTTGAATGGATTTGTAATAAACATGAAATATTATAAATTCAAACATAATGCATTCTCCGTAAGAGGAATATAATTTATAAAACGCGACGCGTGACGTTGTATTAAACAATACGACATCCCTTATTTCCGCATAAGGACATTAAACCCCTTTCATGTCATTTCCCCAAAACAACGATGCTTCGTGAGGGCGGTGTCATTCTTTGCGTCCCGCCAAGTAGATAAAATAGAAAAATTTATAATGTCGACTGATTACAAGTGGGTATCTTGGATAACGTGTTCTTGTACTTTGGGTTTGTATAATATGAAATACATTGTTAATACAATGTTATGTCACCATATAAACAATGTTCTGAATCTGATCGGGAGTACTAAACCCCAATAATTGAATTATACCAGCTGGTGCTTACAACACGTAGGGTCCATTTTTAGGGGCCGAGGATGCCAGTGCTTTCATTTAGAATTCATCAATTTCCTGTTTATATATTCTTACTTTTGAGAAGGAGTGAACTATAAGAAATATTTATCGGTAAAAGTTCATTTGTAGTCCTATCGATCAAAAATGGCTGTAATTTTATGAAAATAATCTAAAGCACCAAATCTCTTCAACTCTCAGGTTGGTACTTCATGTACTAGATAACATTCTATGAGCTGTTGACAGTCATCATCAGCATTAATGCCGCCCTCTTTGCAAGTATGTTTTGTTAATAAAGACATAAGATGACTATAAGTATGATATAACATATCTTTATGAAAATTTTACTGACACCAGCAAAGCATTCCGTCGCAACAGAGAGAGAGAGAGGGGGGGGGGGAAGAGAGAGGACAACGCGTAGAAAACTCACCACATAGAAATAGGGGTTAACTACCACTCGACACAAACTAGATTATTCCAGGACTAATATATGGTATAATTTTATTTCAATAATTCGATGGTGTGTAGGTGTCGATCGCAGGCGGGGGAAACCGGAGGAACCGGAGAAAACCCACGAGGTTAGGCAGGCGACCCTATTCACGGACAAACTTGGGACCGACACTGCTCCACTTGACTCAATGACAGATCGTTTGATCTAAAGCGCATGCGTTGTACAACCCTCCCCACCCCCTGATTTTGAAAGAACATGCTTTGTATTTTTTGTTATTGTTTTTATTTTTATATTTTTTTTGTCTCAGGTTGGACCTCAAGAAGTGTTGGGATTCACGGATAATGAATTTCTTGAGTTCGGAATATCAACCATAGGGGATAAGGCAAGGCTTCGACAGCGCTGCAGATTACATACTTCAGGTAAGTTATTTTAACACTTTCTTCGTTTTGACGTCACGTTGACATGCTGATACAAATGGAAATCTGGGTTAGATCTGAATATTAAAGCTACCTGCCACAATCTTAGGCAACAATCACGTGCCCTAGCCCTGTTTACATCTCGTCACCATGACGAAAGCTGCAGGCGGCCTTAATATTTATATTTGACCGGCATCTGTGGGTTTGTCACATGGTCACAACAGGGGAATGGACGTAATCCGGAATGAAGTCAAATGGGTTTTTTCCAAACGGAAAGTCACGTGGTGGGAAAGAAAACAAGGACGTTCGCCATAGTTATTGTACTACCGCCACTTTCAATTTTAGGCTAAGGGTTAAGGTAAATTGACAACTATGGCGACTAAACGATGTTCCTGGAGCAAATAATGATCCCAACTTCTGCTATGTTTATTGTGCAATTCCTGTTGGAACGGTGAATGCGACTAGATAGATACTGTTTTTATTTACTTTTGTAACTTGGTTTTAAATATCGACTATATCTTGACGTTTGTGACTAAAAATAGTCTGTCTACCTTTGAACAAATGCCGTCGTATCGAAATTACAGAAAGGTCATTATGAGGACGACCACATTGTTTTACACACAGAGTCTAAGCCGTTGAATGTTAACTGACGGAAACGAAGGGAAAGTAGCCCATGTCGGTAAGTCTATGTAAGCCACAATTCTGTTTATGCAACCACTTTCGGCAAATATTCTTATGTCTTAAATTGTATTCTGTTTTCGCAGCAATTCATCACCCCCACCCCCCGCAAAAGAGTTAAAACTACCAGAAAGGTGAATTTTGGATGGAAGCATGCCAACACTACACTATGGTGTCTCTGGCGAAAGGTGGTGGAACGTTTGTTGGTGATGTAGAGCGTGATAAAACCAGTTTTAGAACTTGCAAAAGATTTGTATTTCCCAAATGGGAAAGCACATATCAAAAATTTAGATGAAAAAGACACTTTCTTTTTCATTGCTAACTTTATTGGAAATGAGATTGGAGATTATTTAACAAATGATAAAGAATTTACAATCGCAAATTACTTAGAGTGTTTGAAAACGACACCCAAACGCATATACCTGCATAGTAATTTGTTGGATACCAGTAATCAAGAAACAACACAATCCAACAACGGTCCAACTCATAGTGCTGATATCCACGAAGCTATAGAAAGTCAGCCTAGTTGCAGCTCTAATCATTGCTTAGAAATGTATGAGAGATTATCTAGTGATGCGGATGAGGAATTACCAGATATTAATCCCGTTCCGATTTATTCTGGAACACCTACAGTAAGTTTTAACACACGTTTATTGCAGACTAGAAGAATCCCCGGCTTCGCTCGGGGGGTCATAACCCCGAAACCGGAAGTGGTAGACTAACGCCACCTGGCCTACAGTAAGTTTTAACACACGTTTATTGCAGACTAGAAGAATCCCCGGCTTCGCTCGGGGGGTCATAACCCCGAAACCGGAAGTGGTAGACTAACGCCACCTGGCCTATGTTACTGCCTGGTCCGAGCTACCCCTATACCCCAAATTTCAGACTCGGGGCAGACCTAGTGCAGCCGCCAACCCCGAAAAGACAGACAGACAGACAAACGACAGTCACAAATATTAGTATAGATAGATGTTG